TATTGTCTGAAAGTCTTACATTGGGTTTTTAGTAAGATTATGTATACATAATATTAATTTTTGATCTGACAAACTTCGATTTATTCGCAAGAAAAATAATAAATGCATCGGGCTGTAACACCAGTCTTGATTGACAAGTGAAGACCACCTACAGCTGATGCGGTCTGACTGGGCGGAAGAGTCTATTTAAAACAAATCTAACAGGCGTTCCCTCTCTCACCTCTCCTCCTCCCTCGCTTTTATTTTTTCGCGCTCCTTTTTACTTCGCACCGCTCCCCACTATCTGAACGCCTGGAACAGGCTACCAAGCTAATTAACGTTTGGTGTTGCGGCACTGTAGTTCAGACACGGGCTGCTATTGTGCTGTCATCATTTTGCCTTTCGTCATAGTTAATGTAAGTTTTTAAAGCATCTCACGGGTGTGTGGCATGCCTGTTGAGTGGGCCGTAGCCTGAGTATCAGGCCTTCCTAAGGGGCTAGGGGAGAGGAGATTTTAGATGGGGGAGTGGGGAGGGGGAGAAGAGAAAGGAAGGCCTGACACAAAACCATTCAGCAGATCGTGTGACACATCCAAAATCTGGATGTGGCAGTGATTGGATAAGACACAATACCCCCTGACGTCACCGACCGAAAGAGCGATCGGCAAGGAGAAGCCATTGAAATTTTTCATAGATGTTTTGATTTCATGTTACCGGTATGTGATAATTTTATGGACAGAGACGCAGAGAGGAATTCAAAAAGGCTCTAGAGGGCGCTCTCAAGTTCTTTCCTGGAATAAAACTAAAACCCGAGCAAGAATTGTGTTTTCAAGGCCTCGTAGTTTAAAGGAAAGTTGTACTCGGAGTACTCGGAGCATGGAAAAGCCTCATATACCAGCTTCTGCCGAAACTATGTCCGAGTATTGGTTTCACAAGACCGGGACAAAGAAGACGATATCAGTGTTTCAGATATCTAAGACCTGATTTACAACATCATGCCGTTAAAAGGGTATTGTTACCGCAAATGAAAATAGAGCGAGGTAGCCATGTTTGAGATAGCCGACAGCACCAATGCTTTTAAAAAGCTTGACTTTGCTTGTGGCGGTTACGATAGCGTACGTGATTGGAATTCGTTCGCTTCCTCTTCCAAAATTTTCCATCTTTTGAAAAGTCTTACGCTCAAGCGGGCGCCATCATATTTCGCCAGCGGGATTGACCTTTGTTATAGGCTCTCACTTCTTTTTGAAATTGTAACAGCTTTCACGAGCTCTCTGTGAAGTGGTGGAATTTGCTGCTGCTTGATAATTTCCGGGCATAGGTGTTTTACCATCGCAGCTCCTTTCAACCACCCGAGAATACGAGGGATAACATCAGCTTTTTAGCTGCCAGACAAGCGCCTGATGTAACTCTGTAAACAAAAGCAATTTACAATTTTCCGGGCACACGTTTATTTACAAACAGAGCGTTGGCGATCTTACATTAGCACAATTCCTAAAACATGTTATAATTCCTCAAAAACGGCAGGTTTAACATTACAAGTATTCGAAAACTCCTCATTGGAGGTTTCAGAAAAAAGGGAAATAGTAGCAACACAACCACCGGAGCTCGGCCAG